CTACTGCCAAAAAGGTTTTCTATTTTTAGGTTCACTGAATAAATATTCGCAATGTTTGTTTTATTACGGTAGAAATCAGCCTCCGAATCTTCATATGCAAAGCGAATGTCGAAATTAGAACAAATTCAACGAACTAACGTGTGTTTCTTCCGCATTTAAAATAAGTAAACATTTTGAAAGCATCTCTGCCGAATATTTGAAATCGCCAGATCAAATCACCTTTCCTACTTCCAACAGAAAGAGGTGTTAACGGGACACACACGCGAGAGGTGTCAAATTTTGAACCCTTGTCCTAAAATAATAAAATTTACAGGGTAGGCTGGTGGTCGTGCTTGAGGGTGTATAACAAAATTTCAGGTCTGACCGTTAAAGGAGAAGGAAATTAGAGTAGCTTCTATCAGCAATGTGCCTACATTGTTTAGTTAATCTATCGTCAGAAAACTATCACCATGTTCAAGATTTTTATCCGCTAGATATGTAGCAAAATGCCTAGAGGGTGCCGCTATAGAATGTTTTTTTTTTCTAAAAAGTCATTTATTTCTATAAATTTTCTCTTCTGCGAATTTGGTCAACTTTTTGGTCTTCTGTGTCTTCGACAAAATGTTAACATTTTTTATAAAAGACATTCGTAAACTGACAAACAATTTTCATAGCCGCATTCCTTATTAACGTTCAGTCAGGAAAAGTGAAGAACGAGCCTTCCCTGTATTGCCATTATCAAACGATAGGTTGACTAAAATAGAATTTATACCAATAAGTGGAACGGAGAAAAATGTGTTCAAAGTGTTCCAAACCCTACCTTTTCTTTCGCTTCGCTGGACAGAAAATAATAATTTATAAAAATTAACTATGCAGAGTAAATTAATTAAAGTTTCTGTTAACACTCTTTAGATATTGGCGGATGTAAATATGTCAATTTCAAAATCAACTTTTTTTGTAGAAAGTTTTTTTTCTGGGCAGTGTCCCCCCTTAAGACAGCATCAATCCTTTGACGCTTCGGTAGCTTCTGTCTGCCTGCATTTGGTAACTTCAAGACTCACGCAAGTACCTCTTGAAGCGTGAAATCTTTCACCCCGATTTTCGGGACCCAAAACGCCAACAAAGAACGGAACAACCTCCCAACGACGCGCTCGGGCGAATGACGACTTAAGACTAGGGTTCCAACTTTTCGAATAAATACGAAAAAATAAAAAAAAATACTCGCCGGTAATTTTTCCGTTAATCCGGATTTATCCGAAAAACTCAGAATGTCGAGGTCACAGCGAAAACAATAAACAGCGAAAAAGTGGACGTTTTACAATTAAACTTTACAAGAGCGCAGGGTCAGCGGTCCCGAGGAGAATCCACTTCAGTTTCCTTTGGAATCTAGAACTACAGAAAAAAAGGGTTTGCCTTTTAGCCCGTCGAGGTTCCTTCGGGACAACGGGTCATGGTACCCGGAGCCTATTTATTTTTATTTCGAGTTCTTTAAAATTTACGCAATAAAATAAACTCAGAATTTCCAAGAATTTATATTTTAACAAAAATAAACTCCGATAAAACCCGAACTCCCAGCGAAAAATAAACTCCAAACAACAACCTCCGAATTTTACGAGATATAAACTCCGAAAACACAGAATCCTACTGTGACCCGCACCCGCGCTAACCGCAAAATATCTTCGCCACCGAATGAAGAAGGAAAAAAAGAAATCTTTCACTCGCATTTGTGCGACCCCAATACACCAACAAAGAACGGAACATCCTCGCAAACGATGCGCTCGGGCGATTGACAACGGACCAGTCACACCCAACCTACAAGCAAAAGCAAAAACCCGTCAACCCCCCCCCCCCCCTTTCCTCTGCTTTTCGTGAGGTTTTCCCCCTCAAAATTCCGACCGCGAACCGGCCGACCTTGAAGACGCTAGTAGTCCAGAACGCAGTAACACATTGCGCAATTTCGATAGGAAGTATTGCTGACACGCTCAACGATGGCACGAGCTGACAGGTAGATTGGTGACATTTCGATTGGCTATAAACTTGGTTAAAATTTGTCCCAATGAGAATCCCTGGAAAAAAAAAGATCTTCTAAGATATAGATTTGAATAGCTTTGGTCTTAAATATTGTGGCGCCTGAATTTGTATTTAGGCCCTGGTTTATTTTTAAATGTTCATGAAGAACGGGACAAAAAAAAAGGCTTTTTTCAAGCAGATTTACGTTCCCATAAAAACATTTTAAACTTTAAGGTCGAGAAACATAGCACCATAACATTACTCAGTTTTTTATTATCTTTCTGGTAAAACCGTTCCCAAGTCAACTCGTTCGATGATTGCTGAAAAAAAAGACGGAAGAGTGGCCATTGTAATTGCATAGGGCTCGGGAGATGCGATATTCTCTTAAAGGGTTTATGAAACGAAAATTGAACGGATAGATTATTGTTGAAATCAAATGCTCATAGGCTGCTTAGTATATACACCAAGTTACGCGATTTTTAGACCTCTGGTAATTGAAATAAGCAAGTTGCGATTTTTTATCATTCTCAACTGGCGACCATGCAACATGCCCCAAGTTAGTCACACCATGGTGTCCATAAACCACGTTATCATGATCGCTTTCTCATTCTAGGCGCCCCCATGATCGCCCACACTCTCCTGGCCACCGTACGATCAAAACCGCTTACGCAACTCGGCAATCCGAACGCTATTTTTGCTCTTGCCCCCGGCCCGTTGACCTTCCACGCTGCATGCACCTGCGAGGTATTCCCGAACGACGGTGATTACGGCAAGTTCGTATTTAACTCGCCGTCGCTGGAGCTGGTCGCCAGCGGGTCGCAGTCAAAATGAACAGCTTCCAACATCTCTTAATAGCTATCACCCTCATCGCTGCTGCGATCGATGTCGAACACTTTGACAAGGCGAGCGATGTCGTTGACGTAATCGTCGCGGACCGCATGCTCGAAACGTGGAAAGTAGCGAGGAAGCTGAAGCTCGAGACGCTGAGAGAGCCAAGTCTGTGGGTGCGTGCAAAGGGACACCGCGCGGGAGGCTGGCTACGTCACCAGGCTGGCTACGTCACCAGCCTCCCGCTCCACCCAGATTCACCCTTCCGAGGGACCCGCATATAAATCGATTTGTCCACGAAACTATCGCGCCATTTTCAAAACAAATTTAGCAGAATTATAGGAACATACAATGGGTCCTAGCAGTATCGTTTTCTCACATTTTATTTTTGGCGTGTCATGACCTTTTTAAATGATTGTCCGGTCGAAACCGGAAGTACTTAAGTCTTCGCGCATGTTACGTCGAGGAAGCCTTCCTATAGCAGACAAACGTCATTTTTATTTTCATATATAATGTCCGAATATTATCTAAAGTTTCATGTGCGTGTGTACGAAACTGCACCCCGAATTTCGCCAGTGTCAATAGATGACGTGCGTGGCTGCTGCTTGACGACGCACAACGCCAAGGATCGCGGGATGGTCGGAATAACGAGCATTGGTCGATGGATGTCTCGGATCTTGTTTCGAATTACATAGTCTCCCCAGGCTGTACCCTTCTGAAATGCGTTTCTCGTAATGCAGTTCTTGAGCGTGTTGAAAAAAGTCGTGCCTCTTAGCAGAATGTTATTCGAAAACAGCCGGTAGTTTCGAGTAAACGTATGCAATTCCGCGCATACATAACTGTGACGGCCACCAATCGAACAAGGAGCGATTGCGACGAAAAGGATGCAGAAATTGCCTAAAAAGCGGCATATGGGTCCACATATATCGGCGGATCCACTGTATCGGTGATGCGGCTGCGGGATTGTTCCCTTGGAGGCGATGCCCGCGGGTCGAAGGCAAACAGCGAATCGTTCGAAATGCAGGTAACATTTCTAAATCGTCACTTGACTCGGACGAGCTTCGAGAATCGTAGCCATGCTTCATATTCTCACGCGGGTCAAACATAATCGGGCTGCGCGCGTGCTAAATACAACCTGGCATGTTTCAAGATGGCTTAGCTTTTGGTTTCGGCTTCGCTGCATATTCAAATCGACTGACTCGATTTGGGCGAGGAATGGGTGGATGTAGTTGAATATCGTTGGCACAGCATCACGCCTCATGCTTACAAGCCTTCTGTCAGTTTAGAACTCAGCTCGCAGCTCCTCTCTATGAAATGATTGCTGCATAAGCGGGATCTCGATCTTGGCGGGAATCCTGCGCTTTCTACGCACGGCGACAATCCATTTTGCTCGTCACTGCACGTCTCGCGGATCGCAGATGCTGCCCGGCCGCGCAACGAAAATCTCACTCATCCATAAAACAAGACGGGCACAACAACAAAAGGAAGCACTCTGCGGCAGTGGCGTCACTAAGGTATGCACCACCGGGGGTGGTGGGCCGCCCTTCCCCTCCCCCCCCCCCCCCACACCTTTCACTGCCCTGCTGCACCCCCCTGAGCACTGCACCACCCGGGTCGGTCTGCCCCCCTCCCCCCCCCCCCCCCCTAGTGACGCCACTGCGCTTTAGCATTCACTTGCAGGCAGACCGAGAAGGAAATGCTCGCTTTGCGTTATGTGACGGCAGAGTTTCAGTGTTGCCAAAGAAGGCACCCTTTACGCTAAAATGTGTTGGAGCAGCTCCAAATTTATTGCACAGACGATGTAATATCAAACAGAAAGTTTTACAGGACGATATCTTGAGTCTGAAACGGAGCATACTACATATATCTAGAATTTCGATGTTGAAGTTTAGGCAAACGTGTTTCTAATCGTAATGCACACTTTCTGCCACTGTGAACTATTGCGGAATCGGGTTTTCGCTCGCGGCCCTATCTACGAAAATGCTTTGTATAGCCGTAACTAAAATCGCGTTCCTTCAGACATCGGCCGCCCGCACCTAATCAGGCGTTACTTGATAAGAGGGAGAGAGAAATGTAGAAGAAGTGCAGAGCAAATATTTCGCTATCGTTTCGCTTATCGCTCCCAATACGGACGCTTAGCAGCAAGCTCTTGCGTCCTGGCGTGAGCGTGTCGCGGCAGCTGAAAAGTTTCGGATTCGACGGAACTTCAACCTCAGTCTCACCTGACTTCTAGCTTATTTCGACCACCGATTAGACATTTTGGGTAAGCTCGCTGCGATATTGATGTTTACGCGCGACAGGTGTTTCAATATCAACTTAGAAAATTCCGTTACACTGAACAACGTTTCGGCGATTAGCACTTGTTTCGTCCAGCGGACGTTTCATATTATAGAGTTCGCACGCCGCCGTTTTTACGCATGGTCCTGTTTCTGCTCTTACCTTGAGAGAATGTACTCAGGAGTGTAAGGCTGATGCCGCTGGCAGGAATAAGCGAGATGATGGTGGTCAGGGCATTTTGTTCGTCGATCTTAGTGTTTTAACCCTCGGTTAACAACAGTGTTTATGCTACTTTAGGAACTGATAGAACGGTGCCTCGACCACGTTTCCGACCGTTGTGTTTACCGCGTCTAGGAAACATTGTCTGTCAGTCTCCATCTGATTACGTAATAAAAGTGTCAGGCTGTCTCCCGTCGCAATCCTGGCGGTGTCGAATCAGTGGTGGTGGATGTAGCCAGTTCTCCTGCAGGTCCCCCACCAGTTTGACAGTCTAAGGAAGCTTGAGCAGCCAGGAGTTGGGACTCTACGATAAAAGAGACACTCCCGTTCAGTCGTATACTTTTTGCCGAGTTTTTCAGCGCCAACCGCCAGGATTGCGACATCTGACAGCCTTAAAAGACGTCTACTATGACGTCACTTGTTGGCACACCAGGACCTCCTTTGATCTATTGGCGGCATAGGACGCTAAACACACCAGTCCAATCTGTGTTCCAAGAATTGTCCCGGTACAGTGCTCAACGGAAGGAAATGAGCCAGCAAAGCGCGTGGCTTCTCGTACCAGTGGCGCCATCTGGCAGACGCCGTGATATCCGGTGTCGCGAGTCGCGCATTCGCACAGCTGAGCCAAGAGCTCGGTGGCTGTTCGTGTTCGGTGCCCGACCACTGAGAGCTGACCAACGCTGGCCGTAAACTTGCAACGGGAACGCATCCTTTTTTTTTTTTTTTTTGCCTGGAGCGTGCACAGGTACTTTTTTTTCGAAGATTAGCGCTGTTAAAAATTGCCGTCATTACTCGCAGTGAGCTCACTGTTTATACTAAATAAATCTGTTGTGTCCTAGCACGTGTGCTCTATTTTCATACCGACTAATATAAAATGTCTCTGTTGTTCGCTGTTTTAATTTTTGTATGTTGTCCGTACAACATAGCCTTGCATATTCAAGGACAGACAAATAATTAAATATAAAGAGTTGCACCAGGGTGGAGGAAATAGTCAAGGTTGTGATTCGATTTTGGTAGTGATACCGTATCGGGGGTTGCGCTTCGAGTGCGAACAGGTGTTGACTTCTTCGCTCAGCTACGCGCTGTTGTGACTCACGACACCAAGTCACACTGCATGATTATGAAAAGGTCTCCATAAAGGCATCAGCGTTTCGATTTAAAAGCGCTATTCCGCTAGTAGGAAAAAAATAGGCATGAGATAAAAGTGGGTTAAAACACGCGGTCGGATTATACATGCAAGGTGTTTCAGCTAACTTGTGCCAAGGCGTATAGAAAACGGGTGCACCATTTCCACAGTTCCATACCAATGCACTATTTCCACAGTTCTATAAAGCAAGTTAATATATTTCTAGAGGTGCGCAAATACTCGTGCACTGAATTTGAATCGAAAAATTGTTGCCCAGATAATTTGATTAGCATTCCTAGTATTCGAAGCTTTGAATATTTCGATACATCGAATATTCGAAACAGACCCACTGACAAAAGCTCTGGTTCATCCAGGACCGCTGTTCATGGTATGCAATAGTTTACACAGACCCGTGTTAGATCTAACTCAAGAATCCATTCACATTCTTTTGATAAACACACCAGTGCTTGCAGAAAGTGGTTTGTTTCTTCTTTTCCACGAACGAAGTGATCGTGTCTCCACCCTCTTGAATGTGCTCGGCAGAACATTTTAAACCCCGAACGTCGCCTTTTCAAATTTAAGTATCGTACGTTGTGCAGCCAGTTCTCTACAATGGAAACCTATTCAGCGATAACAGAACCAATCTCTTTCACCAAGCAGTCGCTCCCCACTGCGTCCAGAGAGGTGCTTGTTGTTTAAGTGTGTTAATAATACTGTTTTTCACCGGCCGAAGTGCCTATTATGTGAGGGAGCTTTGTTGCGGAGAAGACGCCATGTAACCGAAATTTCAGTTCCACGTGAAACAAAATCCCTAGATGGTCGAAATTAATCTCCAGACCTCCGCTTGCGCGGGCCAGATATCCTTTGTTGGTTTGGGACGCAAAATTCACAGATTGGGAGCCGCGAGCCGCACTTTAACACGCGAAGAGCCGCATGCGGCTCGCGAGCTGGAGCTTGGCCACCCCTGATCTATAGTTTGATGTTCTGGAGCTACCACCAGACTTAAAAATAGGAATAACTTTTGCAATTTTCCACTCTGCTGGAACCAACGAAAGTCTCAGACTTGTTAAAAATGTTCACTAAACACTTGCTCATCCATTCAGGATATTTTTTTAAAACATGTCAGGAATTTCGTCAGTACCTGTACCCTTTTTTGCGTCTAAGTCAAGTAAAACTGTAAGAACGCCTGCTTTTGTGATTTGTAAGTCACAAAGGTCTTTATCGGCGTAGGTTTTAGGAGGTAGAATTGAGTTTTCTTTACCATTGTCAGCTGTAAAAACGGACTTATAAAAACTGCTGAGTAGTTTTGTCATTTTTTGTGCCTCCGAAGCACATATGTTGGAAGTTTTAGACTTTCTGGCAATTAAATGGTTCCCGATTTTTTCGGGTGATGCTTTCATAAAAATTGAGCAGGATAATATTGTAGTACTTGTGCTTTGCATCTTTAATCCTTCAGTTTGAGCAGTTTTTATAGTTCCGATATAGTTGGATTGTGGTGGGTGAGTGGACACTTTTTGGATGACTTTCTTTGTCTTTTTAGTTTGCGTTCAGGTGAATAATTTCACGTGAAATCGTTGGTTTGTGCTTCGTTATCATTTTACGTTTACTAGAAATAAACTTGGTGATGCAGTGATTATTAATTGACTTTAGCTTTTGCCATAGTTCGTCAATACTGATATCAGTTTCATCGTAGCGCTCTTGAAAGTCGTTAAATTCATGAGCAAGATAAGTTTTAATGCTGGCATCATCAGCTTTGTAGAAATCAAGCACATATTTGGCGCAGCCATGGGAGATGGTGGAACTACGAACAGGTACCGTGCATACAACAATTTTATGGTCAGGGATCCCCTCCACCACTTCTAGGCCAGTTTGAGTCCGAGGAAAGTGGTCACTGAGGAACACTACGTCAAGCAAGCTCCGTGACGATCCCTGCACCCTGGTTGGTTCCTTGACGATTTGGGTCAGATTGAGCACAAATAGCATGTCTATAATAACATCAGCAGTATTTAGGCCAGGGTGCAGCGACTCCCAGTTTATTTCGGGCATATTAATATCACCTGTCATGATGACTTTATCGCTTTTATTATTTGATAGAATGTGATCATATAGGTTAAGAAGATACTATAGGTTAGAGTCTGGAGGACGATAGACAACGCACACATCAATAGAATAATCTTCAAAGGAGCCCTAAAACCATAAAGATTCTACCTTCTTTTACCTCGGGCGTAAGCACATAACAAATACCGCGTCTTAAGGTAATTGCACCACCACCACTCCTTGTTAATCTATCCTTTCTTAGAATGATGTAGTCTGGTGGCACAATTTCGTTGTCAGATATTAACGGGTGTAGCCACTTTTCAGTAACTGTAACGATTTCCGGATTGTATTCCAGAAGTATATACTCTAGCGCATCTACCTTACTCAGAAGACTTCTTGCGTTTAAATTAAGGACTGTAACGTTAGACGGTAAAACACGGTTATCAACTAGGCGTGGTCGGTGACATCGTTTTCTGCTATTAGAACTTTGTCATTTTTATTCTTGTCCCATCTGTACAGTACAACTGCCCGTTTACCCCGACCTTATCGAAAGTCAAGAACACTTTATCGTTTTTATCTCGATTGATTTTAGTACTTTCTCACAGTTTCTTTCGTATCTGTTGCACGGAGTGTGAAAAATCCTCGCTGATAGAAAACGCTGTCTCTTTCATTTTGAGGCAATTTTTCATCACCCTTGTCTTACCTCTGCAGTCAAGTAGTTTCAGGGTGACAGGTCTAGTCTTTTGGTCAGCGTCTTTTTTTTTTTAGACGCTGAATTGTTTTGATGTATGATATCGGTGTGTTAAGAAGCTTTCCGAAGATTGCGTCTGGAACCACACTTTCAAGTATTTCACTGTTTTCAGTGTCTTTTGCTTCGATTCCGTAAATTATCAAGTTTGTTCTCCTGCTTCGGTTTTCTAAATCGTCTAGCTCTTTAGAGATGGTCTTGATGTTAGCTTCAAGTTCAATTATTTTTTTCTTGACACGCACTGACGGTAGTTTGGAGCGTACTGAGGCTTTCTAGCTTTTGTTCGATGGCTGGTAGTCTGCCATTTCTTGTGACCTTTTCCTTTTTAATGCCCTGTATATCTTCAGCAGTGACTTTAAGTTGTTCCATTATAATCTTTATATCCGCACCAGGGTTAACCTCAACATCGCCGCTAAGCACAAGTAGCATTTTTAAATACGCGATCACATTGCACAACAATAAATAGCACGACCGTGGGCACGGCAGCAAGATCAAGCATACGTTATTACTACGAAATGATAGGTAGTAGCGCTTCCTTACCTGTACGATAAAGACGAAAGGGGTTTTAAGGTTCACGTCCGAGAAGCTGTAGTGCCCAGTGTCGTGGTGCCTCCCGCTGCCCGGTTTCATAGCCTCAAACCAACGTTACTAAAACACTCAGTTGGGAAACTGCCATAGAGACTGCTCTGAAAGAGTGGCCCCGATCTGTCCTCGAGAACCGAGCTGATGGCGAACACTGCGCCACCATTCCTCCCGCAGCGGCCACTCGAGGAACTGCACGTTACTTCTATTTTGGCTTTAATCGGCCATTGTTGCGCCGAAACAGATACAGCTAAAGAGGTTACAGCGGTGCCACCCCCGTTTCCCCAGCGGACGCGCCGCGACTAACTACCGAAGTTAAAATGCACTTAGGTCGGGACGCGCTACCTGAAAGCACCGCTGATGCATGGTTGTATAAAACAATATTAATTGTGCCGCAAACCCTGCAAACTAAAGATTTTAAAAACATCACGCGCCCACCATTTGGTACTAAACTCCAATAAATTTAATACAAAAAGAGTAGTTTCCGTTTGTTTTTACGCAAAAACATGCTTTGTAAAAGCTCAAGGTGACCACAGTACAGGCAAATAATAAAGAGGGGCGCTGTTGTCATATTTAGCTCGGTCTCGGTGGACGCCAGCGGCCCAAGTTTCGACGGCGAGTTTCCCAAATGAGTGTTTTACTAACGTTGCCTCAAACGAAGCTGTCGAGGACGATGGATTGTCGAAGATGGGCCGTGGGTATCCGTTTTGAAGTGGGTGGGTCCGATGCTTGTGACGCTTCCTTGTGGCCGGTGGGTCAAGACGTCTGATGATGGATGCAGATAGCAGGATGCCGGACACCGCAGTCTTGCCGAGGGTTACGTCATCCACGTTGATAGGCACCAGCAGAAGGTCGAGCGAAATCTGTACGATAAAGACGGAAATGTTTTTAAGCCTCATGTCCAAGAAGCTGCCGTGCCCAGTCATCTAGCCAATGTTGGTTTAACGGCTGAAAGCGAAAGCTTCCCAAGATGTAGAGAATGTGGTGTGCTTCGAGCGTGCCAACTACTATGGTAACATAATTTTTTTTTCGAGAACACAATTTCCATTACAGTGCTACTTTGCTATTACGTCTTAAACAGACTTTTTCGCTGCGCTGCTAACAACAAGAAAACATCTATAGCGTTGAATTTGCCCAGATCAAGTATTTTTAAGCCAAAAAGACTTGTTCCGGCTGGAAGTTCCAATTTAATTTTGTCGGATGCAGTTGTCACTACTTATTCAAAATAATTGTAATCTAATGAATTGAAGTCACATGGACTGCATTAACACAAAATATTCTTTAAAGCAGTTTTCAAGCGTAACACGTCCTGAAATGTACCAAAGATATGAAAACACGGCCAGTTTTTATACCGAGGACTACGTTCCTTAAAGATAATCGAACCACTGATCTCTGGCTCACTAATGACACCACATTCCCGCAGCGCTTGTTAGCAGACTTGTAGTCTGTTTTTATGTATTCGTGTTACCGAAGTACCTCATTCACCCAAATTTTGGTTGGCGCATAATTACCTATGTTTCTGTCGCGCCCTAAAACCCCAAATTCAATTCAATTCAAATTGCCGGAGGAGTGGAAAGCAGGCTGCATAATGTGTGCATGCCTCCAGATTTTATTTGTAGGGTTAATATATATTTGTGCCGCAACCGTTAACAGATGTTTTGAAACCTTAAAGATGTCCGGATGTAACGTTATTTAATTACTCAAAACAAATCCGGCCATACACATGTCTGTTTTTAGCGAGTCGTAAATTATTAAGCCAGTTATTATGTTGATATGACGATAACCTTCCGTTCCGTAGGTTCGAGCCACCTCATTGAGAAAAGACTCGAGGCCGGGCTCGACGGTGCCATATCCAAGATGAGGTCCTTTTGCGTTTCCGGATTCTCCGACGCCCTGGACTGGAGACCCATCCTCTTTCAGGAGTCCGCCATCGCCCACTGCGCCTGCGCACTGTGTGGACTCGTGTCCCTCAAAGCCATCAGGCTGTCCTGTGGCCACACGCTCTGCTCCGAGTGCCACGAGGAGTGTTCCCGGCAAGGCAGCACCTGTCCCATCGATGAGGAATCCTTCGGCGACGATGACTGCTCGCGAAACGACCTTACAGTGGGCTTCCTCGCAAAACGCCGGGTGAGCGCTGATGTCATGTTTGTTGTGTGAATTTTATAAGCTACAGGAAGTTAATACCTCTTGTCTAACATCGTTGCATTGGAAAACTACTTGACCTGTGCTGTGAGAGTGCTGAGCTAGGGTTTTGCCATTTATGTCCCAGGGAAACTACATTGGACTATCAAACCCCTATCTTGGTTTCAACTAACGTGCGAGCAAAGGAAGAAATACAGCAGCAAGAGTCAAGCCATTCCGAGCTCGTATGCTGCGCACGTGTACCCGTACCAGTGAAAGCTCCGTTCAATTCAGCATCCTCGCACTTTAAGCTTCGGCCGTTCCGGGTTCCTGATTATGGAATAAAAATGTAGTTTTTTTTGTTTTGTTGATGTTACACTAATGTGTGGGCTTAAGTTATCCTCCTCCAAATGTTCACTTATTGAAACACGTCGGCCTGCGCACTTACCTCTCTGTGCTATGCTGCGTGTAACCGACATCAGTCGGATTCGGCGCTGCACGCAAGGAAATCAATATTAAGAAAACATTAAAAGAAGAAACTCAGTCAAAACAAGCTGCAATCAGTAACAAAAATGACTCTTAATTAGCAGCAATCAAGAAAATATGGGTTCGTGTGCCGCAGCCAGCAAGTGTTTCTCAGGAGTTCTTCCCCTAAACAAAAATATATTATCGTGTTCAAAGGGCATATTAAAAATATAGACAAAATATGGACCTTTGTGTTAAAAAAGGGAGTTATAAAAATTCTAAAATGTTCATTGAGCAAACTGTAATTTTTTTTATAGGGATGTTTTTACTTTTTGCATAATATGATTTCTTTTCCCTCACATTTGCATTTGCGGATATTTAAAATTGCTTCAAAAAGCAGGCTCAAATTATACTAAGCACTTTTTTATATCACTGGAATTCATGGCAGTAGCAAAGCCAAAGCATACGACATATGTGCACATCTGGATTTGTCGTAACAACGCCGAAATGTCGCGGTAAGCATAGCTAAAGAGTGGCTTTACAGCAGTCGAGGAAATCCGAGATGGGGTAATCACACGCAAAATTATTACAAACCAGGATATTGTAGGATATTGTAGATTTTTTTTTTTATTTACAGAAAAAAACCTGCTTCGCCGTGAGGCATTATTGCAGGGGGTGGGTTTGATACAAACACTTTTGTTTTAGAACATAAGTAATACACAAAAAACAAACAAAAAGCAAAACACTTTCTATGGATCAATAATGAAATTAAATAAAAACATACTGTCTATAAAACACTACACAATTGAAAATTCAAAAAACCAAATTTGCCGCAGGCACATCTTTCGGCAACCTATTCCACTCTTCAATGGTTTTCGGAAAGAAGGAAAAAGCAAAGGTGTCGGTGCGGCAAGAGTATGGTCTAATCTTCTTGGGGTGATCTGCTCTTTCGGACACATAAAACGGTTCATGTAAAAACACATCTCTGTTAATTAATAGTCTATTGTTGTAGATATCATCTAAAAATTTCATCCTAAACAATTTTCTACGCTCACTGAGTTTCTCCCAATGTAGGGCATGTTTCATGTTAGTGACACTCGCTCCAAGTTCATAATAGTTTAGTACAAATCTAGCACATTGATTTTGTATCTTTTCAAGTTTGTCTATTAAATAATTTTGGTGAGGGTCCCAGACAACTGAGGCGTATTCCATACACGGACGGATATATGTAAAGTATAAAGTTTAACTTTCCTCGGGGCTTGCCGAAAATTTCTCCGTACAAAATTAAGCATTCGTATTGCCCTTAGGGCTATCATTTCAACATGTCCCGTCCACGTTAAATCATTAGATAACATAACACCTAGGTATTTTACATTCGAGCTAGGTTTAATTATTTCATTATTTATCATGTACACGGAAGTAGTGGGATTTTTTTTTCTTAGTAAATTTAACATGCACGCACTTTTTAACATTTAGGTTCATTCTCCAATTTTTACACCATACAGAAATTTTATCTAGATGACTCTGTAAAGTATTAATATTGTTAGAATCATTAATTAATCTATAAATAACACAATCGTCCGCAAATAATCGAATATAAGATTGCATGCCAGAAATAATGTCGTTTATATAGCTCAGGAAGAGCAGAGGACCCAGTACCGAGCCCTGGGGGACACCAGACTCGACTTTTACATACTCAGATTTTTCCCCACCGAGCACGACACATTGCCCCCGTCCACTTGGGTAATCTTTAATCCAAGCCAGTACATTGCTATGCAGTGACAGTAAGCTAAGTAACAAATCATGATCTACAAGGTCAAATGCCTTTCGAAAATCCAAAAACAAACAATCCACTTCGTCTCTAGCGTCAATGGCTCCAGCAAGAAAATGAAAGACATCAACAAGTACTGTGTTACAGGATGCTCCAGTACGAAATCCGTGTTGATCTTGAATAAGAAGTTTTTCGACGTTTAGATGAGCAATGAGATTACTATAAATGACATGTTCCATTAGCTTGCAGCAAATGCACGTCAAAGAAATAGGTCTATAGTTTTTCACATAGTTTTTTGCTCCTGACTTGTGTATAGGTACCACATTTGCCAATTTCCAATCAGATGGAAGCTTTCGTTCCAGTAGAGATTTATTAAAAAGAACACACAAGTAATTTGCCAACTCTTCAGAACAGTTTTTCAATATAACCGGAGAGATGTTATCCGGTCCGATTGCTTTCTGGACATCAAGTTCTCGCAACAGCGAGGCTATGCCATTATATGTTATTTCAATGGGTGACATGACATGTTTAATTTTTTGTTGCACGTTTGGGTGACAGCACGTTGCAGCAGGTTTAGAAAAAACAGATTCGAAATATTTATTCAGATGCGTTTCCTTTCTTTTTTCATTCTCGATAAGTTCATCGCCTACTAAAAGAGGAGGAACAGACGTATCGTCCTTGTTATTTGCTTTTACAAACTTCCAAAATTCTTTAGGGTTCATTTTAAGTTTATTTTCTAACTGCTCGTAATACGAGTCTTTGGATCTTTTATTGTAGCTTTAAAAAGACTATTTATGTTTTCTAATTTCACCCTATTTGATTCACTCCCCCTATTCTTATATCGAAGGTATGCTCTTCTTTTTCGTTTAATAATCTGTTTCACCTCTTTTGTCACCCAGGGCTTATTCTTAGTTTTTGAGGATCTTACTCCGGAGGGGATGTATTTTTCAACTAGGTCATGGATTTTACATTTGAAGATGTTCCAGAGTGCATCAATACTAACGTTATCGGATTGTTCTAAAAAATACGAAAAGAAACTAACAAGTTCGCTTCTTATGGCATCATATCGTCCTTTATCGTAATAAAATATTTTTCTAGCTTGACATTTATATTTATTTATTTTTGAATGAGCCAAATCAGCTGTCACAATCTTATGATCAGAAATGCCCGGTAGCACACAAACATTGTCTATGGCCACCGGTAGGTTGCATAACAACAAATTCAATACATTTAAAAGTCTCGTTCCCTCCATGACGTATTGTGTTAAGTCAAACATTTCCACAATGGCACTCAATTTAGTATGAAGCGTGCTTCCTGAGTAGGTCGCCTTGCCGTCCTCCCAAATTAAATCGGGAATGTTAAAATCTCCGCCTAGAAGGATATACTCTTTTGAGGATGCAAGGATCAAATCAGCTAGTTCATCTAAGCCGTTACTGTTCTCGTGTGGAGGACGATAGTATACACCAACCGATAAATGTTTACCGTCTAAACACATCTGGCACCATGCTGTTTCTATGGTTACATCTGGTATTGGCAAGGGTGTAGTCGGAACACCTTTCTCCACAAGGACAAACACGCCTCCGCCGTGCGAATTTCTATCCTTTCTGTAAACAGCATAATTATCTGGAAATACTTCGTTTGATCCTATAGTGTCATCCAACCAGGATTCCGTCCCCAAGACAATCGTAGGTCTGACCGTTTCGATTAAACCCATGAATTCGTCCACCTTATTGTTTATACTGCGGCAGTTAATAATCATGACTGTGCCCACCTCCGTGTTTCTCGTGGTCACAACAGGCTTGTTTGCCCCTTGTATGTCACGACGATTGGAATTGCCTAGGTATGATGAACGGTTTGCGCCGTTAAACTTTACGTTTAAGCTTCATTGGATGGGTGCCTGGTTTGATGCCGATGGAATATCGATAAGTTCTCTGGACTGACTATCGTCGACCTCACGCACAATGTCAGATTCATGATCAAACATAAAGCACCTATCGTTGATATGCAGTCGGTCCATTCGCAACCTGAACCGGCTGTTTTGCGTTTTCGCAAATTCCACTAGTTTCCTTCTTGCCAGCTGAACTGGCCTAGAAAAGTCATCACTAACAGCGAAGCCACTATCTTTAAGCCTGTATCCGGAAGATAGGACCGCTTCTTTGTGTTTAAAAAAACAAAACTTAACTACAATGGGCCTTTTTTTAGCTCTGTTGAACGCTCCAATGCGATGTGCCCTATCAATATTGTCCGGATTTATCTTTATGCCCATCTTTTTGTCGCAAAGATCGATAATGCGAGATTCCGATTCAGCCCACGTTTCCTTATCTTTATCTTCCAGTCCGAAAAATACCAGATTCGATCTACGTGAACGATTTTCTGCATCATTGCAGCGCGACTTTAGAACAGCGAGTTCAACTTGCGCAGTTTCGAATTTTGAATCGTTATTTTGTGCAACCTGTATATCCGGCTGAGAGGCCCTAAGCTCTCTCTCAAGCGTGCATAGCTGTTCCGTTAACTCAGATACTTTTTTGTCCGCACCAGAACGCCCTTCTGGAATTTCCCTAATTTTCTGGGCTAGCTCATCTTGTAAATCCGACTGGGAGGCGTTCAGTTTCCTTTCAAGCGTGCATACTCGTTCTGTCAACTCTGATACCTTTTTGTGTGTATCAGTACGCGTTTCTAAAAGGTACTTCGTCTTTTGGGCTAACTCATTGTACTCAGTCTGCAACTGTTCAACAACAGACTGTAGGGTTGTTTTCGTTGCATTCAGTTCCGCGTTTGTCGGACCAGGATTTTCTTCCACATCGCCACAAAGCTTCAACAAATAAAAAAAAAGAACGCTTCAAAACTGCTTTCGGGGACGGCAGCAGTACCAGACACAAGTTTTTACTCTTTACAGAAGGGTATTCAATGTTAGTACTAACCTGGATAACAAAGAAGAACGGAATGTAAGATGACCGCATCGTGGTAGTGCAGCCGTCCCCACTAGCCGAGTGCAGTGGTGTTTCCTCCTTTATATGGTGAAGCCCAGTTGATGCCGATGCTCTTGGTCCGTCGTTGCCACGTAGCATGTAGTCTGGTAGGTTTAGCCATGCCGTGTTCTTTCCGCCGAAGTCTGCGTCAGCTCGCGCTTGTCCATGATGATTGTGAAGCCTCGCGTTTTCCTCGGCCGCTGAGATGACGAGTGGCAGGCACGAGGAATCCGGCACGTCATCGAGCGATAGCAGGAGCTGGATAGCAAAGAAGTATGCTGCTCTTCGCTACGGGATACAACACCCCAAACGTCCGAACATTGTATATCTCTAGAACTGAATGCTCTACCAATTATAAATGATGTTTATAATGAGTTCAACATTAAGACAGTAGAAAGTATTTAAATAATTTTCATATACTAGTTACTAAAAGTAAAGAAAAACACCGAAAACAGAATAGACGGTTAGTTATACTTTGGCAGCATTATCTTAAGTCTTGACGTTGAGCATGCTTTTCCATGAATTCGAGATTGAGAATATGTAGCAGTGCGTAGCACTATCACTGTCCTAAAAAAAACGCGCGAAGTAATGTCACATTACACTGAGTAATGTAAGCAAGATCTGGAACTACAAGGAACTCATAGGGTTTAAGTTCCATTAACATTTTCCGAATAAAACAGTGATACACCTTTGTTTGTATTTTTTGGCATAACCTCACCTAAATTGAGTTTTCGATGTTTTTTCGGTCTCACCAAGGCGTCCTGCTGGAACAAGTCTAATGGCTGTAACTTCGAGGGTCCCATTTACAGTCTCTTGAAGCACTACGTCGAGTGCGCTTTCTACGTCGTGTCCTGTCCTCGGTGTCAAGTGTCCGTGCTGAGGAGCGAGATGGTGGGACACTGCAAACATGGTTGCCACGTTTCCGCCACTGGGCCCGTAGTGGACACAGACCATGTCGCACAGGGATACGACAGCATCGAGCAGACAAGTAATGAAATCAAAGAAGCATTGGGCAAGCTCTCTGAAGACCTGTCCTGTCTGCACACCAGCATGAACCAGTGCTTGGAGGACGTCAGAAAAGCAGAAATGAGTTCGAAAGAACAACTGGAAGCTCAGTCTGCGACACTTATTGAACATTTGTCCAGGTTGCACATCGCAGAACCATCTCTTGCAGAAGGCGGATTAAGTGACGTCGCTTCTAAAGTGGAGAAGGGTCGTCAGGCCGGAAACTTCAGCGCACACGCCAAATGCCCGCTGCAGGCCACAGAGAGCACGTGCCAAGGAATGTGTCCGGATCACCAAGGAAAGACACTCCACTGGTACTTAAAGGGATACGCAGCTATGAAGAATGACGCAAGCAAGAATAATTTTGTGGTAACTGAGAGCCCCAGGCACTATTTGAGTGGATACAACGTGTCCATTGTATGCACGTTTAGAAAGTATGGCGGCTTCATTGATTGTAAATTCTATTTAAAATTACATCTTGGAGCCTACGATTCAAGCCTTGAATGGCCATTCAGAAAGACTGTCAATGTCAGAGTCATTCAAAGCGGGGACGGGAAGTTGACTTGGGTTTCCACACACGATATGAGTCCAAGGGATTTTGACAAATTGCAAAGGCCAGACAGAAATTCCTACAGAAGTTTACTATACTTGAATATTTGGGGCCTGAATGATCTAGAAATGCACGGGTTTGTTGAAAATGACTCATTGCACCTGTCCTTTGAGGTCGTGTAACTGAAAGTCTGTCTCTCTTACGAACGATAAATTTAAAATTTAAGTTTAAACCCTCCTAAAATTAAAATTTGCTTATTACCTGCCCCTCAAAATCGCCCGGTTTAATTCATAGTACAGTTTCACGACTGTATCGACTTATTGTTTGCTACTGCTGAATTGCCTTTCGGTCATTTTGGGAAAAAAATGTAGATCATGATGCATCAGTATCACCCGTTTACTTAATCGTACAGGTTTTGCTGCTTATTCAAGTCATATATTTCCTATAAACATAAAATAAAACAAAATAAAAAAGTGATTTATTGACATAATGATCTCTAATATTGTATGAATTCTATTTGTTTCAATTACACCGTAATCAAGCAATAATTTTTAAATTGTGTGAGGACGTTTATGCTTTTTTGTGAGAAAATTGGCGCTCTTCTGCGGCAAAATAAAATTGGAGTGGTGAGCTTTATCCTTATCTTGCACTTGATTTTTCGGGCACGCTATGTCATGTTGCGAGAAAGAGTGCGAAAGAGAGAAAACTGAGCCACTCCACTTTGTGAAGGTGGCTGGCCAGCGAAACTGTAGATCAGCACCACACAAGATTCACCAAAGGAAACACAAAATCACTACCAAACGTTTATTTACAGTACATATACATCACTGGGAAACGGTGATGATTGCTTTGAGAATACTATGATATACACTAATGGGTTCCATTACAACTTTGGTGAGATTATTTGCTAAAGTGAAATCAATACACATAATGCTTTACATATATGTAGAGCAGTGACGTCACCCGACTCGAGCATGAGAAGGCCTATTGTTCTCGGATGTGTCTCCTGTATCACACGTTTCGACGTCTATCCTTATCAAACTGCATATTGCCGCGCGCAGGGCCGAGAAAGCAATACTCGGTCATGGACTTCTAGAATATAGGTGTTTATTCTTGCTCCGAACGCAACTCCTCTAATTTATTCCTGCTTTCTTGTTCTCGAAAGTGCCTGTTCATTCTCGCCCCGAGCGCGCGATGCTCGAGCCTTTTGTGCCCGAACCTTCGAGGAAGTGACGCACTTTAGATAAGGAGCCCCCCGCGACCTTGTCCAGTCAGTCTCGCTCTCGCTTGCTGTCACGCCGCCAAATCGCTCCCCGCTTTCCTGCTGCCACGACGCTCGTCCAATATTTTTGTTTGGCACAAATTCGCCGATTAAACTTTTATTTTCAGTTCGCTGTTCGTCCTCTTGTCACCTTCATTCGTGGCAATATTGCGGTGACGGGGAGTATATGCATTTCCTTACAATGAAGCGCTTTTACAGGCAATTTAGTTTCTGCACACGGATACCATATACAACTTCGCGGCAAAATGAAAACAGAAAAACTGCGCGTTGTCGCATACACACATGCACAGGCGGAGAAAGTTATATGAGTGAGAGATGGACAAAGAGGCGGATGGCTCACTACTGTGAAGGATCGCCGAACCGCAAAAGGACACTACAAGTGCCACTAAATAAGGTACGCTTCAGAGTAACGACACTAACCATCTCGGAGCTTAGAATCATGGTTGCCAGTTATCTGATGCTTTATCTTAAATCACTGGGAACGCTTTTCCGTGCTCCCAAACGTTTAAACAGTTCGCGACAGAGCAAAGCAATATTACATAAGCTTCCTAAGACCAAATCAAATGCTGAGGAAGTCGCAGTTTTGTATCATGACGATCGGCATTTGCGTCTGCTCTGCACAAGCACCAGGATGTCTGCACCTACAAGAATATTAAAGAGCAGAGAGGCGATGCTTTAAGCCAAGCTCGTTTAGTATCTCTTGACGCCGCGAGCTAGCTCCGCCAATCCAAAGATATGAACGCTTCATGGAAACGACCCCCTCCCCCCGCAGTCCTGCTACATCTCCGAACGGTACGCCACACTCATACGACATTGGATTGGCTCAGATGACTCGTAGCTTCCTCTGCGGTGCATCGTCAGGTGAAACGCAGTTTAGTGTGTCTGGTTTGTCTAACACCAGCTTACCGCCTCCTTCATGAGACCTCGTCGCAACTTCACAGCTTTTTAAAAACAAAAGTAAAAGGTCATTCCCGAGGGCCTAGTGTGCATCGCGTTAAACGAAAAAGCGCGGGCGCAGCACCTTCTGAACTTGCACGCTCGAGTCCGTGCTTCTCACATATGCTGCAAACAACTGGAGCATAAACGTGTATATAATCATCGCCGTAGGGTGCCTTCATGTGCGCTTTGCTTAGGGTGGTGGCATCTCGCCATTTTATCCCACATGTTTATTATTATTTTTTGTTCAAAAGCGCGTGAAAGAACGTGGCCCTGCACGCGTTTGTGGCGTTGACTGTGCTACGGCGACATTTTGTTTTCGTTGATTTCTTTGTATTTTCCCCGTGAGCGCGCGCTGTCGGCATCGGGTACTACAAAGGGTGGCATCACTCTAAACAGAAGGACATTGAGGCAACCTACATCGCCGTTGTCCATTCAGTGAAGGCGGTTAGAGTGCCTTCATACACACGCGCGCTTTTGCTTGAGTGGTGACATCTCCGCCATTTTTCCGCCCAATCGTTTTTTATGTATTTTGAAATGCGCGCAATCTGGTGTCACTCAGCTCGAGCTCGTAGCTTTGGCTAAGGTATAGACGCCATTTTACCGCCCAAGTCACGCACCGAGTGCGCGAGCCCGTCACGCGCTGGCACATTCAGGGCAACAATGGATGTCTTCACCCTGAGACAGACAGACATGTAGGCACCCTAAAGGCGGTTTTCTTCGAGCGCATATGCAATCGCCAAGGCAAGTCAACAACAATCGTACGAAGCAGACGAATAAGAAAAGTTCGTGTTTTCTCGACAAACGCGAGATTTCCCGAGAAGTCGCCGACGTTGGGTAGCCCTGTGTGACTGTTTCGTCTTTTTCGACGGCGGTGTCGACGTGGACCGCAATGCGCGTTTCTTGCTGAGTGTGCATGCCAAAGAGCTTGTCACAATTTTGAGCGCCGCAAAGGCGATTTCTTTTAATATTTTGTCTATACATCCCGATACCTGCTGGACCTAAAGTTTTTTTCATCGCGGGCAAGGTTGTACCTTTCCTAAGTCGGGTCATTGCCCCGAAGTCTTCCCCCTAACCCAAGGGCCGAGGCATCCAGGCACACAAACCTATAAATCCAACATAACTCCTAAGTGCACCTCTCAAAGGGCAGGCCGTTTCGTAAACTAGTCGAAGTGCCATGGACGCACATCTCGGGGGCGGGTCACGGCGGCGGAGACCGCGAATCATGTTCCAGTGGTGGGTGCTGGCTGCGGGGGTCCCGAGCGTGACAGAGGTTTACGCCCAGATGTAGACGCAGCATCGGGTGAACCCCCTGGGGTGGTCGCCGTATTTCTATAGTTAACCGATGTGATCTTTCGCACGCGTCACGAATCGCGCGGCGCCGAAACACACCGCTCTCGCTGTCGTTCCTGTTGACCTTGTAGGGGCAACGGCACAATGCGCGATTTTTGAGTTGATGAGGAAAGCTAAGAAGGAAAATGTTGAATTTCTAAGAACGGCGCTGCTCCGATGTTTAGTGCGGCTACGTAATGGAACTTTCTGCGTCATGACTACGTTGCAAGTTCCCCTACGTTGCTAGATTACCTCCCAAATAGGCTCCACATGCATCCACCAGGTGCACATTGAAAGATCGTTTAATTAGCTTCTAAAATTAGTTTTCTCGGCCATTTGAACGAAAAACTGGTATTTTTGAGGCTATGCTGCAACATGCAACACATTAAAGCTAAATATGAACGCTGGAACTTCCTTTCCGTACCCCCTCAATGATGCCGAAATCGCTGCTGTCGCTACGCTGATACTCAATGAAATGCGTTAGAAACGCGGGGGTTCTCACTTAGCGAAGGATGGGAATTTCAAGCTCGCAATGGTGCCCATACAGTTGTCCTTAGAAAGCCAGTCTCTTTTTCCGGGCCTTGATGGTTTTGTATGGAGCCACCACAGCTTCCCTTGATCGCCGCCTGCAGGTGGCGATCAAAGGAAGCTGTGGTGGCGGTAAGCTGTGGCCGCATACTGTCGAAGGCAACAGTATGCGGACCATGGTCTGCATACTGTTGCCTTCGAAGAGCCAATCTTTCCTCCCGGGTGTCGACAGTTTCGTGCAGAGGGCGTCGTCGCTGCACCTTGGACTTACGTTTTTGCGTACGTTGTGCAAGCTGGGGAAACGAAAACATGTGAATTCACTCCAGTGCCATTGTAAGAGGAGAGTGCGTTAACAGCGGCGCGTCATTAGGCAGTTTTAGGCAGGTACTCAAACCGAAAAATATAGCGTTTCGGTTACTGTTATGGTTACCGCTCCCTGTTGATAGCGGTTTCGTTTTGGTTTCTTACGGTTTTATTTTTTACGGTTTCGGTTACCGGTTACACGTTCCTAAAAACCGGTTTATTTCAGTTTTTCCGATAAGTTGTTCAATTGAAATGCTAGGCAGCCGTTTTATATTAAACGGTTTAAAGTAGTCCCCCATATCCAACAACGTTAAATTCAAGGAACTTAGAAACGTCTTAATAGTTCTAATTGATCAAAAAAGTTGCACACGTTTCTAGCTCCAACTCTTATTCACCACGTGTACTTGCATTATATAGTTTGATATCCGAACATACATGTTACTTCCCATACTCGGGGAACATCGCACTCTATATAGTGAAAATTAAAATAAACATCCCTACTTCGTTGTTCGGCAGCGTTTGTAAACAACGTTAAGGAAGTTCCCACTGGGTGCTGGAAGAACCATTCGCACCTTCATGTCGCTATAGTTTTTTTTCAACCTAATCCATGCAGGCGAGTCTTCGTCCACACTGAAAGAAGGAGCAGAACTATAGCCATCCTTCTAGTAAAATACTGCTACGTGGAATAAAGTAATTAAATTGATAGCTGGGCTAGTTGGTAAAAGTAATATTGTAAATTCAATAGCCCAAAATAAGGAAGACTAAGGAGAGGAATGAACAACACAGTAACAACACAGAAAGCTCTAAAAATATGTTACAGCTACGTCATGTTCGCTATTTGAAAGCAATTGCCTCTGATTAACGAAGCGCACGTTTCTGGCTGGCCGATTCTGTGACGCTAGAAGAATGGTGCATTTATATATAAGAAAAAAATAAAAGGTGCGGACACAAAAAAAATGAAAATAAAGTGCGGACGTACGCTATATATATATATATATATATACATATACATATATATATATATATATATATATATATATATATATATTTGAAAATATGTAGATGAATGAACAGTACTTCGTCGAATG